GCCTTTCAGAGGGAGCGTGGCCTGCCGACACCTTGACGCTGGACTTCTGGCCTCTGGAACCGTGAGAGAATGAATTCCTGTTGTTTTAAGCCACTGAGTTTGTGGTAATTTGTTACAGCAGCCTCAGGAAACTAATAGGTGACTGAAGACCAGCTTTTAATGTGCAAATCCTAGTATAAGGCACTATAAACCTCAGAGTCCACAAAAAAATGTAATCTTAACCATTTCAAATAGATGAACTCTCTGTCCACACCAGTATAAAAATTGGTAGCAAATGGACACGAAAGTGTTTACAACATGGGAGTGTTACAGCCTGTCTTGCTGAAATGCAGACTAAGAAATACCAATAAAAGTATGATTTATTTCCTTCTCATACTAGGTTAATGTCACACTGATCATGTGCTTTTTCAACGACAAGTATGGACAGCTTCTTTGCCCTACCCCTCATATTAGCTACATTCTGAACAGAAATAGTCTACAAGCTGGCTCATGTGGGCGAAACGATTTTGCTTCTGATAGCTCCTAATTGCCTAAGGGCCGTTTTCAAACTCCTTAGCCCGGCCTAGGGCCCCTGCACAATCTGCTTCCAGTTTATCTCCCAGCTCAAGCTATGACCTGGCAAAAACGGCAGCTCAGGGACTAGTTGGTGGGTAAGTGAACAGATCTGTGGTTCACGCTGTATATGGCGATTCACCCTCCTGGGCCTGCCTCTCCTGTCAGGCCCGGGTCCGATTCATCTTCCTATTCCCAGCAACCAGGAAAGAGCTGGGCACACAGAAGGCACTCAATAAATGTTTGCTGAGTAAATAAAGAATGATTCTTTCCACCCTCCTCACAGGCCATTACTTTAGGTTGAAATAACTAAGTGGCACTAGAGGTCTATACATATATATATACAATCTGATGAAATATTTTTGTTTCTAGATTGGGCAAACACTCTCACAAAGTCTCCGTGTAACTGAATGGTATCAGCCACTTACAGAGCTCAGTGTGGTAATGAGAAAGGGCATGATTTCCTCTGGTTTGACAAGAATGAGACAGGAATAGCTCCATCTGCTTTGACTAGATCATGAACATAACTTATCCCTCTCTGTTGGCGCTCGAAGCCGTGGAATCCTACTAGACAAGTGTGACCCGGCTGTCACTCAGCCAGGCACTATACCTACGGATATCATCATGTGGTCAGCATCTTCCTACGTTCGCAGAAGGATTTTAAAATGTGAGTGACCCTTTCTGCACCCAACAATCTTACAGTCGAATTGGAGAAAGAAGGCTGACAGAAGAGTGAGGATTTAGCAATAAGAGGTATTTCTCTGGAAATTCAGCATCTAAATCATAAAATCCTAGAAAAAGATAGATTTTTAAAATAATATCCATTCAGTGCCTTCCTAAATCTTGCACATTCCTCATAAAGGATTATCAAAAGATAACAGGCAAGAGTTATTATGCCCAATCTTTCTATGCTGATAAAACATTTGATTGTGATGCAAAGAATCAGTTGGTTTCCATCAAATTTCATTCTCCATCGAGCTATTGGAGGAATTGGAATGCAATCATTATAGATGCATTTGGAAAAATGTCCACACTATCGCAAAGAATAGATCTTAACACTCATTTAAAAATTCAAAGCCCTTAGGTTCAGCATTCACCCTAAAAATGGAAAAGAATAATTTCTTAGCATTTTCCACTCAGATTTAGATGAAAAAGGCACCCGTAACCGAGGAAAGACACATGAGGACAGGGACTACATGTTCTTATTTATGACTGTATGTCTGTGGCAAAGAAAATACCGGGCAGGACCGGGCAGTCAATCAACATTGGGGGGGTGAACTAACGACCCAGCGCCCTAGCTTAATAATATGTAATTGGCTATAAGCATTGGTTCAAAACACAATCAAGGACAGTGGCAAAGTAGTGTTCATGGCTCTTTAAATATATTTGTAAAAATATACTTAAAATCATGCTAACATCACATTCACGTATTCAAAGATATGCCAAAACAAGCATGTTAAATGAAGTCTCCATCAATTAAGAGGGGAAAAGTGTATGTGGAAGCCCATTACTCTGGCAGGCATGACTGGACACGGAAGGAAGAATAGACCAGTACAAACGTAGGGTGCTTGGACCCGCCCACAAAGGTCTCAGAAGCCGAGTAGCGATGATGCTAACACGACAATGTGACCAGAGAGACAAAAGTCTACACAAGTGTGCAAGGAAAAAACAAGCTGGAAATATAGGTCTTAGAAACAGATTTTCTTCCGAGCTTACTTCATTGACGTCTGTGTCCTAAATTTGTAATTTAGCCCCTTCTCATTTCATGCAAATAAAATAGAGTTGAACTTCAAATTGGTGTGTTTAATTCTCTTAGATTGCAGAGTAAACCACTCTTAAAAGAGAGAGAGTTGGGGAGGGGGTGCTGGGGCCAGCAAAGGCCACCAGGGAAATCAAGTGTTAAGTGCTTTCAATGTTAGGAAACAATGTTTTCAATTTACATTCTCGAACTAAGAAAGGCTCAAGATTTTTTACTTTTATTTTTTGGCCATAATGTTGTTTCCAAAATGCACTGTTCTTTCTAGTAAGCACAAAATTGGCCCCATATGTTTAGAAAGAATAGAAAATTATTTTATTTCTGTGTCTTGAGGCGTTAGATGCTTCTTTAGGGAAATAAATAGATCTTTCTGGTGCCTTTAAAAAAGACAGTATCTAAGTCACAAGGGTGTGGGGAGGACGCGATGATCATGAGGGACGGAAGAGGCCTGTACAGGGGACAGGCTGCAGGTTTGCTAAGACTTTGCACGCCTCCCCCGCCCCCACCCCACATACACACACACACTCAATCCTCGCAGGTAGAGGAGTTTGTGAGATCTAGAAATGACTAAGACTCTGTCTTGAGAGTCCTTTGGTGGGCCTCTTTTTACTTCCTCTACTTTTGCTTTATTCGTCCTGATCAATTCAAAATTTGCAGAAGTCTCAGACAGGACTGTGTGACCTTCGGCTCTTATGTAAGCTCCCTTGGCCTGTTTCCTCCTGGCGGGGTGGGGGGTGGTCAGAGGTGCAGTAGATGCAATGGCTAGGGTCGCCTTCAGTTGGAACGATCCCTCATTCTAATGGTAACCACAGGTCCCCTTCGCGTCCGTGAAAACGCCTGTCCACTCTAAGCTCCTAAATAGGAGTGAAAGTTCCCATACTGAATCATCTATACCCCCAGCCCTTCTGGGAAGATTCTCCTGGGAAGAAAAAAAGAATTCTCTTTCCCCATCAAAAAACAAAAAGCAGCCTTTCCCACCACCCCATCCCCCTGCGCAGCAATTAAGCGCACACTGTGATCTGTGCAGAACCTTCTGAATTTCCCCATCCCACACACTGAGCAGCCCAAAATTCAATCATTACCCAATTTTGTATCTTACTTATCCTTTTTGCTATGTTTTAGCTTTGTCTTCCCAAGAGAAAAAGGTCTTCCCTGCCATCACTTGATTTCATGAATCATCCCTTCCCCCTTAATGCTCATTTTTATTTTTAAATGGAGGGACACTGGAGTTGTGTTCATTTCTTAAAATCTGATTTCATCTTTGAGTTGTTTGAAAAATGCACACGGCAAAAACCTAAACCTCCTGGGGGCTTGGTTGATCTTGGGCCTTGGGCATTTTCATTTTGCCCACACCTTTCCTTGTAAGCAGGAAAAGAAAATGCAGGGCTGGAGGCTCCATCTTGAGAAGGCTCCCAGACACCTTTGTGCTCACCGCTCTCATCTCGAGCAGGTGGCACTTCAGGTTTTGCAGCCGCCAGTCCACATCCCTTGCCTTATGATGCAGATACAGGCTTCTAGCTGATGGGCTGGTTGATTGTGTAAACCACAGGTGAAGGGTTTCCTGTGCATTTCTCAAAATAAGGGTTGAGCAAAGGAAATGAAATCAACCGGTTTAATAGTGATGAACAAGGTGCCCTCCACTCCCTCTCCTTTAAAAAGCATATTTTCACAAGTCAGTTTTGGGGAAAAAAGTTTAACTTTTTGGACATTTGCATTGTAAATCTTAGCTTTGCTGAGATAGCGGGTGCACCAGTGTTCTTAAATTTTTTCACTAAATCCAACTGCTCTTATTTTTGAAAAAATACTTGTACCCTTTCTTACAGAAAGGAGGAATCCATTAAGGACTTTTGTTAAGGACATCTCTTATACTTCTGCTACCTTCTTTTCCTTCCTGCACATTAAACACCTCAAAAACAAAAGCTTGGCCTCTACCCGCCAGTTAAAATAGGTGCTTCAAATGATGGAGAAGGTAGTAAGGACTCGACAGGCAAGCTCTGGACCTGAGCCAATTACTTCCTCCAGGATTTAAACTGAGCAACTTTTATCCTTGTCCTGCTGGTGTCCTTTAAATCCAAGGATTTTTTCATTATTCAAATCAAGAGGATTCAATCATTTTCAATGACTTATCATTAATCGCACACGCACTTACTTTATAAAAGCAATTTTAAATCTTTAATTCTAATTGGAACCAACCATTAGAGGAGGAAGACGACATCTCGATTTTTTTTATAAAATAGCTGCTAAAAATCTAAGTTTTTCCTTATTTGACAAGACTGCTTAAATTCTTTGTGTCAGTGCTGGTCACTGGCTAAATAACCCGAGTTTGGTTTGACACCTGAAACAAATACTGTGCTGACTTATCACCACCTTCATCTCTCGATTGGATGCAATAAATTCAGTGTTGGCTTAGCAAACGCTATAAAAGTTAAGAACTGCAAACATGTTATCAGTTTTCATACAACTCATACTAGGAATTCAATCAGCTTAAGAAAATGATCTCGCAATCACCTATAACAGACGAGCTACGACACATACCTGGATGAAACCCATGTCTATGTCGTTCAAGAATTTACTTAAATTACCAGATGTTTGTCATCTCTTGCTCCCCAGTGAGACCAAGAGGCAGGCCCCTTTGCAAAGGTTTCATCTTCCAATAAGCCGCTCCTTCCAAACACCAAACAGTCACACCAGCCAGGTTTTAAAACATTTTATTTGCATATTAAAAAAATTGTGCATTCCAATAATTAAAATCATTTGAACAAAAAAATGGCACTCTGATTAAACTGCATTTTACAGCCTGCAGGACACCTTGGACCAGCTTGGTTTTTACTCTAGATTTCACTGTCGACACCCACCCAGCTTCTTCCTTCACCAACATGCAAGTTCTTTTCCTTCCCTGCCAGCCAGACAGGCAGATGGAGAGGCAGGCGCGCCTTCGTTGTCAGTAGTTCTCAATTCTTCGATGTGAAAAGGGGCAGCACAGTCATTTAAACTCGATCCAACCTCTCTGCATCTTACAAAGTTAAACAGCTAAAAGAAGTAAAATAAGAAGGCAATGCTTGTGGAATGTACAGTGCATATTGGCGGCGCACGCCTCATTACGATTCGCCTGCTTGCTTCTCCTGTTCAATCGCTGTGACCGGAAAGAAAAAGACAAAAAGAAAAAAGATGGAGGAGGCCGATTATGCAGATTCAGTATAGCCTAGTATAGGATTATGGTACTTCCGTTTAAAAGATCTTTCTATATCGTAAAAATTCTACAAGTATCAATAGGCATTCCATTATGAAGTATTTACAATAGAACAGTTTAACAGATAAAAAGCATTCGCATATTAATGGTATATTATTCAGCTATTATTAAATTATTAAAGCCCTATGTTGACTGCGAAACAATTTTTAACTAACCTTTCCAGACCACATTCATCATAAAACCGTCGGCTCCTCCCCCGCACTCCCTCGCCCCCCCGCCCCCGCTCCGAATTCTTCTCCCAGCCCCTCCCATCCTCTCCTACCCACCCCGCCACTCCCGCCCAGCCTTTTCTCAAGAAGTGGCGGGGCGAAGGGGGGGAGACTTACTTTCTTTTGAAGGCAGTGGATTTTTCTCTTGCGTTTCCGTCTTCTTCAATTTGGACTTATCGAATTTCTCAATCTCAGCCATATCGGGTTTGTCAGACATGGTTGCAGAGGAAGCTGTAAGTACAAAGCCGAGAGCGAGGGTGAGAGCGAGCCACCCACTCTCGTCTCTCCGGGCTCAGAAGCGAGCCTCTCCCCTCGCATCTCCTGCCTGAAACCCCGCTCTGCCTCCTTCCGCTTTCCTTCAGGGCTAAAGCTCTTCCTCCTTCTACAGAAAGAAAAAAAAACCCAAAACACCCCCGCTTTAAGATTTCAAAACGCGGAGGACCCAAATGGAAGATCGCTCTCACGTTAGCAGGCCGAATCTTTTGGAAAAAATGAAATTGACCACTGTGGGTTAATCACAGCGTTTAAACAGTAAAATTTGGCTAGAAGGAGTAGAGAATAAATAATGAAGCCCTTTCAAGTTTAAGGGGGGAATCAAGTAAAAATTCTTAAAATGAAGCCAAGGTTGCACACAGCGTCTCCGTTTTTTATACGTGATCTCTCCCCCCAAAACGCGGGCTCCTCTGGCTTTCTTCTCTTTTCACAAAGGCGGCAGCTGCTGCCGGGCGCCTCCGACCACCGCCCTATCCGCTTCCTCCTTCGCGCTCAACAATGCAGCCAGCCGCACATAAAGCTGCCCCCACACCCCATAAATCAATCTTGATCTGCATTTAGGCGCAATTCGGCAGCCTCTGCACAGCTTCTCCTGCAAGAAGGGTTTTTTTCTTAACTTCCCAGTATAGCTCAGCCGCCTTAAACCTGGACAGCTAATAGCCCACGAGGCCATCAGAAGCTAGAGGAAAAAATGAAATTTTGCAGCTCTGGGCTTGGGTGGGTGTGAGTTGGAACAAAGGATCTTTCTGTTCCTCATTAATCACCGCCTAAGAGGCAATGCATAATGCCTTTCGGGGGCAAAAAAAAAAAAAAAAAAGAAAATATGTTCCCTCGAGGCTGCGTAGCAAACCGCCCCAGTATTGTCTTTTAAATCACCAAATTCTCGACCCCGTTACCCAGCATCTGGAAGGGTTTAGCATCCCAAGGCAGCCTTTCCGGGCAGGACCACTGAGGCTCAGCTTTAGGGATGCCTTAAGGGGGATGCGGGCGCCGGGCGGGAAGGGGACCGGAGGGCAAGAGGCAGGGGCCCTGGGGCTCACCGGAGCGAGGTGCGCGAGCGAGTGGAGACGGATCCGCGAAGTAGCCGCCGCCGAATGCCGAGCAGGGCGCGGCGGGCGCCGCTATATGGCCGCTCCTATGTAAATGAGGTGATGTCACCCGCGGGCTCGCTTAACTCCTTCGCGCCGCGGCTCCGGAACGGCGTCCGGGGGCCTGCCTGGCGTTTGGCGCCCCCCTCCCCCCAACGTCCACCAATGCACCCTCACCGCAGCGATGGCGGAAAAAATAAGACGAGCAAAAGCCCACCTTCCAAGCCTTCCTCCATAATGCATTCTCCCCCTTTTATGTCTATATTATCATAATGGATTTTTGCAACAGCCGCACAAAGCTGCTCTTGGGGACCGGAGCATGACGACTAAGGGCCTGGGCAGGACCTAAGGGGACAGGCATTCCTTTACTGCGAAGCTGGCTTTGTCTGATGCAGGCATCCCCAAGCAAGGGTGCGCTGTCTCTCGCTGGAGGGCCTCCCCTCTGCAGGGGTAGATTCCTGTGACTCAGCTTTCAGGCCAGTGGAGGGCCTTCGCCCCACCCCAGGCCTTTTTGTCTCCTCGCTTGCGTTCTCCCAGACTTGGGGGGAAGGTAAAGCACCTTTAAGTCATTAAAAACAAAAATGTTTCATCACTGTAACATCCATATTTTTTTCATCGCTCTAATTTTTGTGAGCACCCAAATAGAACAACCGTAATATTTGCTGGGTGGAGGGTAATTTATCCGGAGTTTATAGAGTACAACGCCTTCCCCTTAGAAGAAAAGTCAAGTTCAAGCTCTACTGTTGACTTGCTGCCTGACAATGAGGAAGTTCTTTTACTTTTCTGTTCCTTATTTTCCTAAATTACAAAAGTGATTGCTAAGGAGGCCAGTGTTGAATGCCCAAGACTGCAATCCCATTATCTCTAAAATCTTAAGATTAAATTTAAAAATCGAACTCCCTATTTTGAAGGGAGCCTTTCCAGCGCAAGCCATTTTCGAAGCGCGCTTCTCAATGCATGTCCGGAAACCGGGGAGATTTACGTGGAGAGGAGCAGTTTTCCAAATGGCATCTGACTCTGTGCGCACCGCTCCCCTGCAGCTGAAATTCGTTACAAATTACCCCCCTGTTGCTGAAAAGAGTACAAATAGCAAGCCTGCGCCTGCAAATGGCAGGTGAAGGGAAAAAGGCCCACAGCTTGCAAAAGGCCTACTTGAGATTATTTTGAGACGCGAAGGGGTATGCCCAATTCTCCTTATCCTTTCTGCATCCTGAGGAAATGTTTCCAGAAACCCCTTGCTAATCGTGTTTATGACAGAGGCTTTTGTCTCCCTGGGGATTAGAGTCAAGTGTCACATAGACCCTTAGAAGCCACTGCAGGAGCAGCTTGGACTTCCCCATTTCTTCATCCACTTGACTTCCTTCTTCCTGGGGGGGAGGGGGAGCTGGCCAGGGGCAGATGACTGGTTCCCCGGTTCATGCTCTGGTGGGTGGCTGCCATTCTGCTCTCCCAGTGGGGGCACTGGACCTTTTCGTGCAGGCACAGGCTGTCACCTCTCTGGTTACACGTCCCCCTGACCCCACCCTAGTTGACTGGCCTGAGAGTCCACTTCGTTGTGGAAACTCAGGAAGGATGGCACAGGGTGAATTCGGGGCCGTCTTCAGCGGGCAGGTACGTTGTCTCAACACCACTTCTGTGGGTTCTGTGATTCCATTTCCCCTCACCCAGCTGCTGTCAAACATCACTCCTTTCCTCCCCAGCGTCTGCTGATTACGGAGGACCCACTACCAGCTCAGTTGCCGCTTCTCCCCGAGGCCTTTTCTTTCGAAAGTGCTGGGCCTTGCAGAGCAATGTCTGCAAAGGAGATGGAGGAGCAGAAATTTGTAAACCTAGAGAATTTTTCTAGTTTGGTGATAAGCAGCCTTCCACTATGTTTAGCTATTAACAGAAAGAGAGGAAGAGAAAGAGAAGGAAGCAGCTGGCTGAAAGGAGGAGAGCCACCATATTGGGCTGGACTTGCCAACTTATCCGGGACCGAGAGAGAATGGAGAGGGGAGAGTGAGGCAAATGTGAGGAAATGCACACAGAAGGAATATTCCCAAGAGCGTGTGGCCCTGGCCATGTTCATTAATTTTTCTGTGCCAGAGTTTTCTCATCTGTAAAATGGGATCATTGCAGTGCCTACCTCACTGGGTTGTCAGGAGGCCTAAATGCTTCCGGCAGTGCATGACAATTAGTAAGGGCTGTTACTGTTATTTAGGATGGAAGGTTGAGAAAAAAATAACTTTTTGTGTTTGGAATTAATTTAAAATTTGGGGTGTTTTTCTACTCGTTATTTCTCTTCTAAACTATCAGTAAAAATGAGATCTTTTGGTCGTCTTTCAGCAAATAAAAAATAACAACTCCCGTTCGTCGACGCCTTCTGAGAGTCAGGCATTGCAATAGGTGCTTTACGTTTATTTTCACCTTTCATGCCCACTGCCTGTCCCTTGAGGGAGGTTTGCAGATGGGGAAACTGAGGCTTAGAGCTCTCTCTTTGTGATAACTCAGCCAGTAGCCACTCTCTATTATTATGCAAGGGGCACCTGAAAGTCTTCACCCTGTGGCCCCAGTCTGGGCCTGAGAAGCACCAGGAAGAGTGGGAGGCCGGCTGCTTTGTTTCCCACAATGCCTGGTGGAGAGTAGTTGCTCGCTAAACAGTTATGGCGTTGCATTGAAGGGCTGTGCTTCAGTGAGGAGCAGCCTGCCACTTGGCTCTGCCCCACTCTGAACTTGTGACTCTAGCCCCCGTGCTTTCTTCTCCAGATAATTAAATCCTTTCAGTCAACGTTTCAGATGTCAGCCATCCTTCCTGCCTCATGGAAGCTACCATTTATCGTGGTTAGCATGTGCTGGGCACCACAAGCGTGGAGATGGGAGTTTTCCATCCCAACTGAAAAGACGGAAGCTTCGAGGGGCAGAGGAACTGCAGGGTGCAGTCTGAGTTCAGGGCTCTGCAGGAAAGAGGAGCCACGAGCCCCCCCTGCCGTCCTCCTCTCGTGGGCTACAGCGCCCCGGGAAAAATGGGCCAGGAGAGCCTGCACTGGAGGGTGGCCCCTCCAAGCCCGCGCCCAGTGGAAGCAGGAAGAGGTGTCAGGGCACGCTGTGTTTTATTTTGCTTTCCAGGGTGAGCCTGAGAGAGGGTTGTAGCTGTTTCCAAAGCTGGGGAAATAGCCATTGAAGTCTGAGCGCATGAACAGTAGTCCTATTATTTTATACCCATTAAATTGTGTGCAGAGCACTGAGAAAAAGAAGAGAAGGAAGAAGAGGAGGAACAGAGGGACAGTGACGACAGCAAGGCTCCCAGCTCTTCGTTTTCTCAAGCCCAGGCCCCTTTGTCTGGGTTTCAGGGCCTCCTACCCTCTGCCCTCACCTGCCTGCAACCCGCTTGCCTCTGAGCCCCTGCAATCTCCATCTCTTCATCTCAATCCCCTTAAAGGCACAGCCCGAGTCCCCCCTTAATCACAGGGAGAGGATGGTTAGTGGGCTACCCGTATGTTGGACCTCTCTTAAAGCTCTTTGTATAGAATATCTGATTCAGTTCTCTCCCTGTGTGGTTGGTATACCATACCTCCATTTTACTGTTGAAGAAACTGAGGCTCAGAGAATTTAAGCAGCTTTCTCGAGATCAAACACCCAGGTCTATCTAGCAAGTCCACGTCCTTCCACTGAGGCTCATCTATCTCTACCTTGCTGGAGTCTTTCTCCAGGAGTCCCACCTATGGTGGCTCCACGTTGTGCTCCGTGTGATGGAACAGAAGGCTCCCTCAGCTAGTGTGCTCAAAATGAGGATACCAAGGAAGCAGAGAAGAGTCAAAGAGCACTCTCGAGAATGCTGAACGTTGTGCTGCTAATTTTCCCTGCCACTCTGTTGATCTGATGGAATCATAGAGCCAAAAGGAACTTTAAAGGGGATCTCATTCAACCCAGTTCCCTTCTGTGGCTTGAATTCGCCTCTGCAACATCTCCTCCAAGTGGTTACTCAGCCCACACACAGCAAGGGCAACAATAAGGAGGCAGAGAATCTTCCAGTATACGCAGGGGACAGTGAGTAGCTCAGTTTGGCTGGGGCTCGCACAGAGTGAGAGAAAGTGACAGGAAATAATGGTGAGAGGCAGGCCGGGCCCAGGTTGTATTATAATAACAGCAGCAGCAGCACCAATCATGACCGTAATAGTAGCAAACAATTTTTGAACGCTTACCACTTACAGGGGAGTTTTCCATGCAGAATCTCCCTAGGTCCTTGCTCAGCCTATGACAGAGGCAGACGAGGGAGCCTGGAGAGATTAAATAACTCACCTAAAACCACACAGCGAAAGCCAGACGCAGGGTTTGAACTCAGACCAGCTGGCCCAGAAGCTGCCTCCTTGCAACACTACACTTTTCTAGAATCCTAAGCTAAGGCCTTTAGACTTTGTTCTATAGGCCAGATAAGGTAAAATTTATTCCATCTCGATAAACCATCAACTTTTCCATCATTAAAACTTTTAAATGTAGATATCGTACTCATATGTCATATACATCAAAAATTTGCCTCCTCCAATTTTCAAATTATTTCATTACAGAAACTCACCCTGCTCTTTTTGAACACCGGTAGTTTCACACAGCTTTTCACTGCTTTAATATTTTTCCCAGCAGTCAGTTGTATTAGAACAGTTTGAAAAAATTCGTAGGTCGAATAACAAATTGAAAAGGAAGGCATTACATACTTCTAACAACCTTCTGTGTTAAAATGATAAATTTTTTACTCCATTGTGAAGCAGAATTACCTTTAGCAAGTAATTGTTTATATATTTTAATATGCTTCTTCTGGAGACATCAAAGCTTTTTCATAGAATACAGTAGTCCCCCCTTATCCATGGGGGATACGTTCCAAGACCCCCGGTGGATGCCCAAAACCTCGGATGGTGCCTAACCCTGTATAGACTATGTTTTTTCCGTAACTAATGGGCTAAGAGTGGGTGGCGTTTACAGCGTGGATCCGGTGGACAAAGGGATGATTCGTGTCCTGGGCAGGACAGAGCCGGATGGTGCAAGATTTCGTCACACTACTCAGAATGGTACACAACTTAAAACTTATGAATTTTTATTTCTGGCATTTTCCATCTAATATTTTCAGACTCCAGTTGACCGTGGATAAGGGGGACTACTGTATAGTTCCCAGATCATCAGCAGAAGGTGGCTAATGGCTTTAAACTGAGGAAAATGAAGAGCAGGTGGGCAGTAGACAACTGACCCAAATTCGAGGGGATACCTCACATAGGCCCAAATCAACCTACTCAACTGACCCTGACGATTTCCCCTCTCCGAGGCTGGTTTCATGGGTGTGCAACCTGTGTGGTTGCACAAGGCCCCACACTCACAAAGGCCCTGTACTTGGCTTATTGCTCTGCTGCCGCCATCTTGAAATTCTTAATAATTTTGAACAAAGGGCCCCACATATTCATTTCACACTGTGCCCCCAAGTTATGAAGCCAGCCTTGGCCCTCTCATTCTCATTCCCTCTGTGCCCCCAATGCCTCTAGGTTTTCCTAGGACCCAGGAATGGCCCATCCACTCTGGAATGTGCCCCTTCTTCTGCCTGTAATGCCTCTCTGATCATTCCCACCTACGTTGCCCAAGCGTGGAAAGGTCTCTGAGTGTATGCAAGGATGGTTCAGCTTCTTTGCCCTCTGCTAAGCTTCAGTCTGAGCCTGGTTGCCCTTGGACCTAGGGTGGTCACCACCTTTTCCTAGGGCTGGTGCCAGGCGCACATACCAGTTCTCATCCCTTCCTTTCTGCCAGGTTATTTTTTCCTGCCTGAGGGCTGCCTGCAGCGGTCAGCGATCATCAGAATTGACTGGCATGTATCAAAGCCAATGAAGGAGCAAGCCCTTCCAGCATCTCCGCCCACTTCCCCAGTTCTCTCTGACGCCTGCACTCACTGGGACCTTCTCAGAGGAAGAATGCCAGAGACATAATTTCCATCAAAGCAAGAAAAGGAGGATGTCAGCCTCTCACACAAAGGCCAAACACAGGGCAAATGAAAGCACCAGCAAAAGGACACTTGCGTTCCAAGTTTACACTGTGCAGCCAGGACTCAATTGTCTGAGTTGGTAAAGATGAAATAGACAGTCGAGATCCATCAATGCTAATTTCCAAATCTCACTTTAACGAATAGATTCAACTAAAGATTTCAAAGTTAATCATATTCTTCAAAAAGTTAAGCATTGAATTACCATATGACCCAGCAATTCCACTCCTAGGTATATATCCAAAAGAATCAAAAGCATGTATTCAAACAAATACTTGTACTCTTGGTCATAGCAGTACTATTTCAATAGCCTGTGTCCATCAATAGATGACTGGATAAACAAAATGTGGTCTAGCCACGTGATGGAACATTATTCAGCCATAAAAAAGACGGAAGTCCTGATGCATGCTTCTACATGGAGGAACCTTGAAAACATGCTGTGTGAAAGAAGCCAGACACAAAAGACCGCATGTTGTATGATTCTATTTACGTGAAACATCCAGAATAGGCAAATCCATGGAGAGAGAAAGGAGATTAGGGGTTGCCAGGGGCTGAGGGGAGGGAGGAAAGGGGAGTGATTACTTAATAGGTACAAGGTTTCATTTTAGGGTGATGAAAATGTTTGGGAACTGGATAGAGGTGGTGGGTGCACAACATTGTAAATGTACTAGATGCCCTGAATTGGTCACTTTCAAATGGTTAATTTTATGTTACGTGAATTTTACCACAATAAAAAAATGCAAAAAAGGAAAAAAGAAAGAAAAGTAAATCATAGTCCCATTTCCTCACACCCTAGTGTCTTGTTATGAGGAGACAGGAGAGGAGTCAGGAGTGGAGTGAGTTTCTGGGTTTTTAACTCTTTTCTGCCATGGCAATTTGATGAAGCCTACAGATCCTTTCTTAGAATTATGTGAATGCAGAAAATAAAAAGCCTGGATTATGAATTAAAGCAATTATACTTCATACAGTTACCGAAAGAGTTTTAGACATTGTGAGATAGTCCTATATGTGCATCTTTATGCATTAAATAACACAAGCAAGCAGTAGGTCTCATATCCAGCATAAATTCAAAATGGTGATCAGTGTGTAGATAGCTGCAAAACAGGAACAGACATAAAAATCTCTGTGATTTCTGTTGTTGATACAATCACAGGAACTGCTAACCGTGCAGAGTCCCAACATTCTTTATGGACTGAACGCTTGTCTGAATGAAGGCAGCTGTCTATAAGCCAGGAAGCCGGGCCTCGCCAGGAACTGAATTGCACCTTGATCTTGGACTTTCCAGCCTCCAGAAGTGTGAGAAATAAATGTCTGCTGTTTAAGGCGCCCAGTCTATGGTATTTTGTTACAGCAAGCCGAGCTAAGAGACTTGCCTACATGCAAACTTGGAGGAAGTGCTAACGCCCAGCCCAGTTAGAGGCGAATGAAAATAAAGATGTGATTTTTTTCCCGTTCTAAGTTCATGGACTCCCTCCATTTTCTCCAAAGATCTCTTGGTTGTCTGTGCAGCCCAGTCCATCTAAGGGAGGGATATCTCGAACTAGAGAAAGTCACCAACAGGGTTTCTGAGAGAGAATGGAAGCGATGGCCTGGCTCTCAAGAACTGGATAAACCACAGATATCTCTGCTCTTGAAATTTAATTTACCATTTCCGCATGTTCTCTGCATGGCCTAAGTTCCACAGTCTATACCAGCAGCTTACCTAAAAGGGTTTAGGCAGCAGCTCAGAGGAACCGGTAAATTGGACAACGGTTGAGGAAAAAAACAAAAACAGCTTATAGGTGTCACCTTACATTTTGGGCTGTAGTAATTCCTTACGTAATACAACTTGTATTTAGATGGTGTTTGTGAACTTTGCCAATGCATTTTTTCACCTTTGTGTCATTTTATCCTTAAAGTACCCTTATGCAGATAAAGGGGCTAAGTATTGGTATCAATGTTTTGCAGAGGATGAAACTCAGCACGGAGAGATTAAGTGACTTACCTAAGGGTATTCAGCTGATTGGTAGAGCCGAGACCACAAACCAAAACTCCCATAATCCTTTCAGCATGGTTTTAGGCACTAGAGCTCTGATGATCCACACTTCGGGAGGAAGATTGTGTATCTAGGATGAGAAGGAACCAAATCCAGTCATTTATGAAACTCAGTCATCTGCGGGCAGTATTATAACTAGCTATAGGATGATTTACTGGTACTGGAATTGTTCCCAACTCTCAGCAAACAATAGCACACTTGGTTTGTTGTGCTCATAGCAGCAGCGGCCATGGCGGTGCGTTTTGTTAGTTTTTGTCGTTCAAGAATCCATTTCTCAGATCTGAACGTGCATGCTTGGCTTTCAGAAACCTACAATTACTCATGCATGGAAAAGGCTTCCCTGACATGTTCCCTCCCTGCTTTATTTATTTATTTATTTACTACTTATAGTCCTTGGCATAAAGAGTGACCATACATTTGAACTTAAATCTTTCTATTTTTCTATCTACATTCATACAGGGACATAATTTCAGTTTGGGCCAGGGGAAGGTATTTTAATGTCTGAATTGTATATTTTGGACTCTATGGCTATGTTTGTGTGCATGCCTTACTTTTATAGCTAGAATACTGGATCTGGTTTTGCGTAATAAAGGATGTGGCTGGCCTCGGTCCCCGGTCCCTGGGAGGTGGCCTCCAAACCCTTGGAATTTCCCGAGTGGCTGGAGTGTCTTTGTTATTCCTGGTGGGCCCCTTGCGCCATGCCTGACTGTTAGGATAACCAGGTGGCTCACAGCAAAGCTGCAGAAATACGATGAAGATTGCCCGTGGACCGTTTGCCCAGATGCATCAATTGTTAATATTTTGCCACATTTGCTTTATCATTCTCTCACTCTCTCACCATCTCTCTTCCATACCCTTTGAGAATTAGTTGAGAATATGACACCTCTTCACCGCCAAATACTCAGTGTGCATTTACTGAGAACAAGGACATTCTCCAGCACAGCCACAGGCCAATTATCAGTACCAGGAAATTTCACAGTGCTACACTACTGTTATCTAATCTACAGGCCTTATTCAAATGTTGCCTATTAGCCTGATAATGTCCTTATAACAATTTTTTCTGGTCTAAGTTCCAATCCAGAAGCACTCATCATCACATTTGGTTCTTATGTCCCATTAGTGTCTTTTAATGGAGAACTTTCTCAGCCTCTCTTGGTCTCCATGACACTAAGATTTTTAAAGATGACAGGCCAGTTGGTTTGTGGAATTTCCCTCAATTTAGGTTTGACTGATGTTTCCTCATGATTAGATTTGGGCCTTGCCTTTTTGGCAGGAATACTACACAGGGGATGCTGTGACCTTCTCGGCGTCCCACATCAGGAGGCACATGATGTTAGTTTGTTCCACTTTTGGGGGTGTTAGCTTTGATCACTTGATTAAGGTGTTATCTGCCAGGTTTCTCCACTGTGAAGCTATTAATTTCTGAGAGGTGCTCCTTAACGTATCTCTATTCCCTATGTGATGTGGCTATTTCAGCTGTCTTCACAAAGAGCTCCCAGCTCAGTGATACCGCAGATTGGGTGGCTTGTAAGCAACGGAAATTTATTTCTCACACTTCTGGAGGCTGGAAGGCTGAGATCTGAGTACCAGCATGGTCGGGGAGGGGCCCTTTTCTGAGTCACAGATTTCTCATTGGATCCTCACATGGCAGAAGGGCTAGGGAGTTCTGTGGGGTCTCTTTTATAAGGACCCTAATCTCTTTCATGAAGGTTCCACTCTCACAACCTAATCACCTCCCAAAGGCTTCACCTCCTAATATCATCACCATGGGGGTTAGGATTTCAACATATGAATTTTGGGGAGATACAAACGTTCAGACCACGGTCCTCAGCACTGGTGGGATTATTTGTCACCTCAATTTAGGTGGATTACTCTCCCCACCATGCACAGACCCAAGTGAGATTCTGTGTGGCACTGAAGGACGCAGAGAAACCATATCAGTGCCATCCCCACTTACGAGTAACTTAGCTGTCACTTGAGCAACACCACAGGATTCAGAGTGCATCTCGTTTCCAAAGGAGAAAATTTAAAAAGATAAAACATGGCAAATATGTTTTCACAAAGTAGACCTATGAGGGCCTTTTCTTATTCAATGTCAGAGAATGGAGTAATGAGGGCTATTCGTTCAGTCTGCTTGCTCAGCACCACAGGATATAATTCTACGTCAAAGGGCAGACCAGAAAGTAGGAGGATGCCCTTTCACGAGCACCCTACCGCAGGGTTTGTAGTCCCAAAGGGAATTCAACTAGCCAGGCACCCAGTAGGGGTTTGAGAATCATCTGTAGTTGAGACTCTACTCTCCAGCTATCCTGCTGGGGGACATATTCTGAGCGGTTGGGGGGCTCCGTGGCTAAGAGTAATACAACAAGGACCACCTATGTGGTGCTTGCCAGAGCCAGGTACTGTCCTGTGGGCTTCTTAATTACCCCGAAGACCTGGTTGGGGAGGTATAGCGAACACCCCATCTTGCAGAGGAAGAGATAGGCTAAGAGATGTAACATGCCCAAGGTCGCTCAGCTAGTGAGACCGACCATTTAATGTGACAGTGTAAGTTTTATTTTTCCACATTTTATTTGCATTTTCCTCCCACAAGCAGGAGCGGCAACCAAGGAGGTGAAATCTCAGACACTGCAGAAACTGTTAATCAGCCTTTGACGAGGTTGGCTGAAATCAGTTGTTTTTTGTTTGTTTCTTTCTTTTGCTTTGATGAGAACCACACTAACATTTGTATTACTAGCCACTTGATATCCCTTTGTTGGATCCTCTCAATAACCCTAGGAATTTGATGTTAGGATGCTCATTTTACAGATGGCTAAATTGAGGCTCCGGATCTCACAGTTGGCAAGTGGCTGATCTGGGATTGTATCCAGCTCTATCTGGTTTCAAAGTCTGACCCCTAAGCCCCTCCTCACTGAGCCAGGATTTACACAGGAAGATGCTCCCGGATAGCAAGCTTTCAAACGCAAATCAAACAAGGAGGCCCTCTCCGCCCTTGTCAGACTGACCAAAATCAAAAGGTTGAGTAACGGCCGGCCGAGGTTGGTTAGAATTCGGGGAAGGAAGAGTGAAGGCGGCTCTCACGCGCCCTTCTAAGTGTGAATTAGTGTAGACTTTTCAGAGGTACTGATGAGGATTTTTAGGCTGCTTAATTTTAAAACAGTTTATGATGAGGATTTTTAGGCTGGTTACTTTTAAAACTACAGATGAGAAGCAGGCTCCAAGGAGTGGAATTTGCTTGTCCCTTTGTTGGGAAAGATTTACATTTCTAAGGGAAACCTCTGTCTGTGAAGATGCCTCCCTCTCTGTGCCAGGAAGAAGGGGGATGGCCTTATCTCTAGAAACTCTTAATGCCAGAGGCAGGAACTTAAATTGGTTACTGTCTGGCAACCTCATGTAACTGAGCCCCCCCCCCCCCAATCCTCCTTTGTCTTTAGCTGATGATAATTTTCAAGCGGTGATTTCTGCCATTTACTCAATCCGGTTTGATTCTTATCTAAAATTTGTGGGACCGCCAAATGGCCGGACCCTACCGGCACTGATACCGTTTTAACCTTTTTACATATTCTTTGTCTTGCAAAGAGATAACTCACATACCTATGCCTTAAATTTAGCTCTAACCCTCAACTTGGGGCAGCAGAAGCTCTGACTGCCCATGGGTCCTGTCCCCATGCTATTCTATTCTCTAAATAAAAAAGCACTACTGCCAGATCTTAAGAGTCTAAGAAATCTTTCTTTCGACTCCTCGCCTCACCGACGCCGCATCAGGTACCAGTGGTTCTCACAATAAAAGCAGCATTTCCGCTTTGATCCAGCGGTTCCACTGCTAGAATTGTTTTCTATGGCCCTATTTGGACACTGACAGAAAGATGTGTATCTACATATACATACACATACACGTACATATATATCTTTTCCCCCATAACGTTGTAGCTAAGGGGGAAAGCTAGAATCAATCTAAGTGCATATTAACTAGGAGATGAGTTAAAAACATGACAGAAACCCAAACAATGGAAAATTATGCAGCCGTTAGAAAAAGATTGAGGCAGATTTATTCATGATGCCGCGGCAGGATGTCCGAAGTATACTCTTAAGTGGAAAAAAGAGAACCTCATAAATATTATATCATCTCTGTGCAATAAAAAAGTAAGGTGTATAGAGACGATTTACAGAAGGGAATTTTAGTATATTTTCCTGCCCAAGAAACTTCATAAAACCAACACAAGGGCAGTTGAGTATGCCTTTGAAAGAAAGGAATTGTGACCTTGGACTTGGAGTTGCTTTAGTAAGAAAACACCTCTGAAAGGAAGTGAAACACAGGCGAGGCAGAGTGGGGGTGCTTCCTGCTTCTTTGCAATTGAAGGAACTTCTCTTCTTAAAGGGGCAGGAGGACAGTTATTGTCAAGACTACGTGTGGCTCTTATAATCCTAAATCAAGTTGTCTGTAGACAGGTCCACAGCAGGCCTTTGTTCTAGAATGCAACCGAAGCCCACTGAGTTTAGTCAGGCAGCCCACCGCAGGCCAGTTAAGAATCATCTTTAATCAGAGCAGCTGTGCCTTGGAAATTTTCGTGTAAAATGTGAGCACGACATTACATTTTGGTGAATTGAATTATATTTTCAGTGAGGTAGGGAAGCTGCTCCTGGAATCATAGAACGATGTGTGTGTGTCTGAATATTAATATATTGGGTTTCTTTAAGTAGAAGTGCCCGTGGCCAGGTTGACCACTAAAAAGTATCCATTTGTACAGATGCTTCATTTTAAAATGGTGCCATCATTTTGCATCTGCTAGCTCATTCTTGCCTCCTG